AAATTATTATACATGTACTACAGGATATTCGGGCGCGGTTTGCTCATAGACCATGGCCGTGAAGTGCCGCCCAAAATATTTAGTTTATTTGCGTAAATCACCAACAAACAGAAAATAAAACAAGCCCGCCACAAAGCATTATTCAAATATTATATTAATACAAGGTCCTCGATGGCGCCTTAACGGCCATTACTGCTGTGTCTGTAGCATCCTAAAAACCCATCTACCATCCATGCTACACCTAGGTCCTCGTGTTTTATTAACACATAACAGAATGTTCAGCGGTGGTAATTGACCTTAAAAAAACAAAAAAAACACTTACTCTTTGGACTAACCCAATTGGTTATAAATACCTACTTTCACCGTTTCCGGACCAACCCAATCGATGACAATTTATTTGTAGCGAGTTTGTTGGTACATTGATAATAAAATACATGTAATGATATTGATAAAACGGCAAATCTCAATATGTGCACTCGCCACAACATCGACCACAGTTAGTAGTTAGCAGTTTTAAGTCTTGCCCCACCTCTATAATCCTGAGCGTATGTGAGGTCAACGTGACATAATTAGGTCACCGTTAGTGGAGCTTTAGAGTGGTTTGTTTATACTGGCGAAGGTATTACATATTACATGTATTACTTGGGTGTGTTCAGTTCCAATGCAGGATGGAGTAAATTGATTTTTCGCTAATAAATAGATTTCTTTCTCGAAATCAACGTGACAAAAAGAGAATGAAAGTGAAAGAATTCGATCCTCACCAAACCAAAGATAAGATATTAGAAAGAATTTTACAGCACTTGAAACACTATAAGGTCATATAAGTGCCGAAGATTAGATGTATTACAAGAGAGTAACAAATATAAAAAAGAAGAAGAAGATCAGGTCGATAGGTGTTTGAAAGGAAAGAAGGAGCAAACCACACCAGAGCATCCGCCAACCACCCACAGTTATCGTCTCCAAAATAGACACAAGTTCTAATAAATGTATAATTAGCAAAGAATCAATAAAAGTAAACAACAGTTTCATGTCAAGTCAAAGCCCTTTATATACCACCAATCTCGGGCCGAGCATGAAGTTAGCGGCACGACGGGGTTTAACGTTAAATGTATAATATAATACATGTAATATTATTAATTATTATCGTGAACGTGATATGCAAGGACTGCCCAGCGTCAAGGGAAATGATTCGGAAGGGCCTAAACGATAGGCAATATAATGTTTATGTCCCTTGGTTCAAACCTTGATCTCTGCGTATTGTGAAAATCTCGCGCTCCCAATCCAAAGGCCATTGTGCCAGAGAAAGGTAACCTCAGATGTCACTGTGCAGCTATCTAGTGGGTGCTCTGCGTTGTGTAAAGTGTTAACCTCTGGAGGTGTTGCAGGACGAATGTACCATAATTTAACTCTAAAAAAGTAGCGGACACATCCGATCAACAGGAGATCAAAGGCAAAGTTGTGCAACATTTGAACCATTAAAAAAACACAGAAGAAAAACGAATTTTCATTATTTCATAGTATCCAGTGTTGCCCGTCTTTTAAGAAAACCTTGTTGAATAAATCTGTATCAAAGGCGAAGTTATGCTTTCGTGCATTAAAACAGCTCAGCTTCAACTTCAAATCAATTGTTGTCACAGGTTATGATGACCGTACAAATTGGGCACTTGGTGGTTTAAAGTAAAGGGCAGTTTTAGAAAATTTGCATTTATTTTCTTAGTATATTCTGCTCACATACGACCAAAGACCTTACCGTTTAAAGGCTTCCCTGAAAACGATTTGCAGTTCTCACTTCGCCAGTCCAAGCCCAACTGGGTCAAATCCACCCATCTGTTTTTTTTTTAGTAGAGGGTTTTACGGCGCTCGCAACTGCATAAGGTCATATGAGCGCCAAGGGGTGGGTGTCAATAGAGAAGTCTTTACAGGGAATCAGACTTACACTGCTCACCTCTCTAGCTTCAAACTGCACAAGGTCTGCTTCGTCTATCAAGGCACCCCGGAAATAGCGTGTCACAAGAGTGTGACAAACATTCAAAAGAAGTAGAGGCAAATGACAATACTAAGGATTAGGAA